GTTAATTATAAGTTCAAGAGTTGGAGTCCAAAGTGAAGAGCAAGTTGTTGTTGATTCATTCTCCAGGATAGAGAACCAAGAGAAGCAGGTTAGTACCAACCTAGAAAACCATTTCAAAGGATCCAGGATAGTAAAGCAAGCTTTATAATTACATTTTAAATACTTAAAAATACAGAGATATATAATCACTCAGTCAAACCTACTGTATTCTGTGTGTTTTGGTAATTATTGTAAATGTGAATATTCTGAGCTTCCCATCACTTAGAGTGGAATATTCTCTGGTTCATTCTGTCAAGGTGCCATCTGCTGGTTTTTATTATGAAATAGTCTGTTGGCCAGACATTGGAGACCTCTTAATTAATTATTCTGTTCCTCGCAATGTGGTTACATATTTTCAATTCTCACCATAAATATTCTGTACCATCTGTTTTTACTTCAACACTAAACAATTGGAACAGGTCCCTGAAGTACATTGTTATCCCAAGATTGGGTTTTTGGTAATTTAGTGTTCTTTCCATTGTACCAAAATTCTTCACTTTAATATCCTGCAGATTAAGCACAATGACAATTTAGCATTTGAAATAAGGTAATTTAATTTGAAATTGCTCCTCTACAAAATTATAACATTCAATGTGTACCACATGATGTGTAAGACGTTGCATACTGACAAACAAACAAAAATGAATTTGTTTGGGTGTGAAGTGTGAATTCTGTGATTGATCTTTCCATCTGGATATCAACTGTTACATCTGGATAACACATTCCTACTTTTAGCTGTATTTGCTCTCACAAGTTATATGTCTTGGCTGTAACATCTGTTTTAAAAGTGACAGACTAATTAGGACATTTTTTTTCCTTCTACTGAGTGCACTCATAACGAGAAAATTAATGGTCACATATATGATCAAGAATATTATAACCGCTACTTTAGAATCACATAGAAATCTATGAGCTGCTGACTATTTTGTTCTGTAATATATTACATATCTGTAAATAACATTACTGAATATATCATTAAACGTTGCCTAAAACTTGTGTTAACCTATATGTGATGTTCTGCTATAATCATTCTGTTCTAAGATTTAGATGTTATCACATTTAAGTCATTTCATTAGCAGGGTACACATTGCACTTACCATGTTCAAAGACGAAGAAAAAAATGAACTTATAACAATGATTGATGAGCCACAAGGCATACCTTACGAACAAATACTTACATTTAGTAGATAACAAAGCATAATGTTTAATATTCCAGGAAGTGATATTTGCCTTGAAAGAAACCAAAAAGCAAAGCAGCAATAATTTTATGTTCTGTTTATGGATCACTCACAGCAACTGATGGAGATATCTAGGAGACCTAAAAACCCATCAAGGTGTATCAAGAATTGGAGAGGAGACTTTTAAATAATAAAGGCGTAGATCAAAATTTTACAGACCCTTTTCCTTCCTGAACTCATAAATATTTATAATAATAAGTAATGCATTTTAAGAGTTGTCCAAATTGTTACTGCTGTGTAAATAAATTATAAGTTAAAAAATATGTCACCGAGGGTTTTAGAGATATGTACTGAGAAATGTATTTCAATAAAAGCCATGGAAGGCACTCATAAGTCAAGAACAGGAAAATTAGACAGGTGCTTTGATCCAAAAGACATAATAGTAGAAGAGAGACAGCAGCGCAGCATTCCTCATTGAAAATGGCAATTCTACACTCTGTACACAACAACTGCTTCATCTTAATAAAGTGGTTGTGGTACCTGAAGTTCTTTGGTGCTATTTTGCCTTCCAGTGCCTGTCACATTGCCTCTCCCCTAATGCATGGTTAATGCAGAAGCATTCCCTCAAGCAATGAAAGCAAGACAGGGATAGGCTGAGAGCCTCACTGATGCACTTAGCCTATCACTGGCCACCCATTGTGAGTAATCGTACATATGTTTTTTTAAGCGATAATAGGCAAGCAGAGTGAATGCTTTAACGTTGGTCAAGCACCAGAGAAGAAGAAGTATGATGGGTGCCTAGGAAGTGTATGTCAGTGTCA